AGGGGGGGGGGGGGGGGGGAGCGCTGGGGAGGCAGGGGAACACAAGGAAAAAATCTCATCAAAGCAGAGAGATGTTGCCTGCTAATGAACTGCAAAACAGCAGTGCCAAATCTGAGAGGTGGTGCCAGCAAAGGACTCACTGGCTAAGTTCTCACAGGGTGGAAGAAGGACTCGCATCTAATTTCCAACCAGGCTGCAAAAGCTCCACATTTATTTATCCTTTCCTAGTAGTTTCTGAACACACATATTGGGCCTTCCTTCTGAAACTTTATTCAGTAGTAATGGCAAAGGAGCATTTATTTGATTTTTCAAAACACATAGGCATGATTTCAGCCCAGATTAAGATGGCTTTTTAACCGAAATGGATTTGTGCTGTCAGCAAGCACTGTGGTTAGAAAGAACCATGTTATTATATTCATGTATTTATCATTTATTTATTAAGCAAATGTGTCTGTCCGCCCCTCTTACTCAAATAACTCTGGGTAGTTAACAAAACGTAAGCCCAAAAACCTGCATATAAAAACTAGGGAACACAAAAGATGCCAGGTGGAAATAACCAGCTTCTCAATCAACACAGAGAAAAAGTACACAAACCGGGCTCCACTAACCTCCTGGCCCTGAAGCCTCAGGTTTCTAAGGCCTTCTGAATGGCCAAGAGGGTTGGGACCATCCAAAGCTCAGGGAAGAGGCTGTTCTACTGTTAGTCGTGGATCAGTGAGCATCTCACACGATGGGCTTCCATGACATCTCCCACCAGATGAGGAGAGAGGGCCCTTGAATCTCCTCTCCTCTTATCTCTTGTTCTCGTCAGAAGTATCTTCCCACCTCTGCACCCAACATGTGAAAGACAAAAGACCCAAAGGAGGAAGAAGTAGATACAGCCTTGCTCTCCTTTGGTGAAACGGGGCAGGGTAAACATGCTGGCCAGACCTACCTGCATTCATGGGATAATGCACAGCTTCTGGGTCCAGCCAATACACTCAGCCAAACGCAATTTCTTTGATCAGGCTCAGCACCATGTGCAGACACAGCCATTGTGGCCTATTCAACCAACCATGATTAAGCACATCAAGGCCTAGCACACCAACACAACTTGGGGAAGGCTGCCTGATGCTCCAAGAAGATGGACCAGTTTAAATGCAGGAGTTTGGTGTGGTTTCAAAGAAGTAGGGAGCTGGGGAGAAGAATGTCTGTCACATGGGTAGGATGGCTGAATCCAGAAGCATTCACTATGCCTTGGCCTTCCTGAGCCTGAAAGGAGATGACACTTGTTGTACAGGGTTGGGATGAGCTCTGAGTCTCTTTGGGTTGGGCTCAGCTCCTGTTCAACAATATGGAAGTGGTTTACTTTATCCTTTAGCACAGGGCACAGACCCACCCACAATATCAAAATAAAATTCTAGAAAAAGACATAACATTATGACACCCCAATAGCCGCCTTAATAGGCCCAAGTCAATTTATAAGCTCCAACTGCAAACTTTATCAACAGCTAGTGCTGTTTTGGGGTCTTGGAGTGCCAAGAGGGGCTTCATGTAAAACTAATATGGCTATGTAAGGAATTGAGAGGCGATGGCAGTTTGCTATGAGTATCTTGACCAGTATTACATTATGCACAGATGTGGGCTGGTGACTCAATGTTCCCAGACTGAAAGGGACACGCCTTGTTTTGCAGAAGGAATTTCTGCCCTCCCATATGGCTGATAGCAAAATATCAACCTGCAGTATCGCGAGAGCCAGTTAACATGTTTAACTGTTTAAAACCAAGTTTCCTAGGTCCCAGTCACACTGTGGGTGGCATTTTGCTACATTCAGTTCAAAATGCTTCATCAAGGATCCTATATTTAAAAACTTGCATAGCCTGTTCTCCCAGAGTCAGCGGTGCCTCTGGGGATGGAAATGGAAATCCTTCTCCCAGGATGTTGTTTTAAGATCCCCCCATCTAGCACACAGCCCTGGGATGTCCTGCTGTTCTCCCATCCAAATATTAACCAGATATGGCCCTGCTTAGATTTTTGAGATCAGCCAAAGTTGAGATCAGCCAAACGTCTAGGCCAGTGTTGTCCAAACTTGGCCACTTTAAGATGAGTGGACTTCAACTCCACGAA